TATAAAAACAATATTGTTCAAATACAGTGTATCATTATTCTTGTGCAGTTGATTTATTTAAGACTGAGGCACTGTCTTAAAGTCTCCCACTCCTAGTACGTTTTTCCCTCTTCTGCCATTTTTGCATTGTATATTTCAATCCTGTGTTATTTGATTCGTAAGATTTATGAGTTTTATATGTTGATTGTGAATTGTGCCCTTTGTCAAAATAAGATTTTTAAATCCCATTTAATGCACTTGTTCTTGAATATGACTTTGTCATATATTACTATTGCCATGCCTGCTTTAATTTATGTTTGCTTATCCTTTTTGTTTCAACACTTCTCTCTTAAAATATTTTAGTGGAGGCAAGCAAAATGAAGAGATAATTCAGGTGTGTTTCCGTATACATCATGCTATTTTTTCCTCCTCTTTTTAAAAGCATCTCTTATATACAAGATGTGCTGAGATTTATAAAAACTAATCTAAAAAATCTTGATATTTAATAGGGCTGTTTACCTTGTTTGTACTTACAACGATTTTTGGTGTTACTTTTGTCATTTTGATTTTCTGCTCTCTCCCTCTTTCTCCCTCCCTTCCCTCTTCCCCTCCCTCCCTCTCTTTCTCTTCTGCAAAGTGGACCAACTGTATATCCTTCGATTTTTATTTTTTCCTTAAGTATTTATAATTCCACTAGTGCTTCCCTTTTGGTTCTTAAAAATATTGGAATCTGTATTTCTCTATCAATAATGGCAGTTAAAATTGAGGGTTTCCTATGTGACAGGCACTTTCCACATATAATATATGGCTAAATTATAGCAGCCACTCAGTGCAGTAGGTAATGGTGTTTTTATATACATTTGAAAGATGAGAAAAGTGAGTCACAGAGAGGTTAACTACAGCATTTACATAATCTTTCCAGAATCTGCAGCCAAAATTGGAACTTGGGCAGTTTGAGTCCAGAGCCCACCCGGTTAGCTGTCTTGCTGTGTATGTGTGCCCTGCCTTGCCATTTGCAAGAATTAAATAACATTATTCTGTCCATTACTATACGTTGAAAAAGTTAATATTTTGTTTTACTTTATTTCTTCTTCACACATTTTTAAATTTCATTCATGTCATTAAAGTTGGATAATATGTACTTTCTCTCTACCAAAGAGTTTTTAATATTTGTTCAGTGTAGTAACCTTATTTTCAGTAGCCATTTGGGCTTAAACCAGTTTAACTGGACTTTCCTTTCACAGTGCTCTTGCGTTTGATTTTGGACAGCTGAACTATGTCTCCAAGCTCTTGTTTTCGATAATGGTCAGGCTATATATACGTTTCTGAGTTCTTGTATGTCTGAGCATGGAGGCCACCTGTGTGAGCATAAATGTGGCTGATGAGAAGTTTAGCGGACTAATATCCTTTCTTCTTTCGAACCCTGAGCAGTCCTTCATTTCCTCTGGTGTCTGGTATTGCTGAACAAGTATGAAGGCCCAAGAATCGTGTTTTGTGTGTACATACATGTACATATATAAGTTTATATATGTGCACACACACAATCACTTTTTAAAAATAACAGTTGTGGGGGGCAGCCCCCATTCTGCTCAAGAAGAAACAGTGGTGTTCAGATGACCAGTCAAACACGCAGAACTAAGCTTTACCCTGAACAAGTTCACTCATCCCTGAGAGAAAGGACGCAGGCCAAGCAGTAACACCATGTACATGGAAAGGGCTTGATGAAGGTCTCTGGACTCCTAGCCCTCTCCACCGGGCACGTGTGTGGTCATGGGAGAGGAGGCTGAGCTCTGGTGATCAGAAAGCTGTCAGACAGTGAGCTGGCCACTGTGTCTGCACAGGGATATGGCCTCCCCATCTCCCATGCAGGTGCGCCTCAACAGTACTTGGTACCCATCACTCAGGCAGTCGTCACAAGAATAAAGTACAAAGGTTTGGTCAGATACATGGACCTCAGCTGAATTCTCATCTTGAATCTGGGAAAGGTGCTCCTTCCAATTTCTTAGCATTGTGCCTTCCAGAAATATCCCCAGAACACTCTGTTTCTAAGACAGACTTGAGTTTGTTGCTTACCTTGCTGTGGCAGGCAGATAGTGTCCATGAAGATGTTCACGTCCTAATCCCTGGAACCTGTGGGGATGTCGCTTTATGTGGTATAAGGGACTTTGAAGGTGAGATTAAGTAAAGGGTCTGGAGATGGAGTGACTATCCTGGATTATTGTACTGGGTTCAATGTAATCTCAGGGGTCCTTATTTAAGTGAAAGAACGAGATAGAAGGGAAAGGGTCAGACGGAAGATGTGGCAATGATGTGAATGCTGGCTTTTTTAAAGCAAAGATTTCACTTTTATTTTATTTTTCAGAGAGAGGGAAAGGGAGGGAGAAAGAAAGGAAGAGAAACATCAGTGTGTGGTTGCTTCTCGAGCAGCCCCTACTGGGGGCCTGGTCCACAACCCAGGCCTGTGCCCTGACTGGGAATTGACCTGTACTCTGAGCCACACCAGCCAAGGCTGAATGCTGGCTTTTAAGGTGAAGAAAAGTGACATGGTAAGGAATGCAGGTGACCTCAGGAAGCTGGCAAAGGCAAGGAGATGGAATATTTCTGGAGCTGCCACAAGGAGTGTAGTCATAGTCTTCTTAGCACCTAGATGTTTGCCCAGGAAGACCCATTGTGGACTTTGGATCAGGATCGCCACTACTGTAGGACGGTAAATCTGGGCTGCCTCCATCCACTACATTTGTGGAAATTTCTTACAGTGGTGAGAGGAAACTCTTGTACTTGACAAGGGAGAATATGACAGGGTCTTGATAGTGTCTCACAGTGGGAGGGGAAGAGCTGGGATGTTTGTTAAGACTTTAGAGTCTTGTTGAAAGGCAGGTATTTTAATGTGGGGGCTTGATTAGCGTTGAGTAAAGACTGGATGTAAGGGTTTAAGATTGGTGGATGCTGTCAGGCAAGAAATTTGAGGAGACAGGTTCAAAGTGGTCTTGGTTTAAAGAGTCAGTTGTTCTTTTCATTGAAGAGTTGAGGTGTTCCCGGAATGAACAGCACACTCATTTGCAACTGCTGTTTTTCTGGGAAAGGGTTTTCTCCAACAGTGAAGGGGTATTGCTGCAGATAGGGAATAATGAAGCTGTGTTAACGTAGGCAGTAGGCTGAGTCAGGGGAGATGACTTGGAGTCTCAGTTGCAAGGAGGCTGTGACTCACAGTGAAATTTTCTGGGGTCCCTGGGGTTAAAGAAAAGTATCTGAAGCATCTGATTATCTCTTCCTTTTTTGCGGGGGGGAGGCCTTTTCTCTTGCAACTATTTCAGTCGAGCTGGTTTTAGTCTGTGTCTGCCTCAATCCTAGATTTTTAGTTAGTTGAGGAAATTCTTTTTCTTGTTTCTTGATGTACCAGTCCTCTATTGCTGCTGTAACGATTTACCACAGATTTGGTGGCTTACACAATATTTTTTTCTTAGTTATGTTTAGATTAGAAGGGTTTTCAGGGTGTTGGGATCATGTTTATTTGAGAGGTTCTTGGAGGAGAATTCATTTCCTTGCCTTTTCCAGCTTTTCAAGGACAATACCTTCATTAGCCTTTGACCCCCGCGTCTGCCTTCAAAGCCAGCAATGGCAGGCTGACTGCTATTCCCACTGCTTTCTCTCTGGTCCTCTGGGGCGGGGGAAAGTTCTCTGCTTTGAAGCATGTGTGATTAGGTTGGCTCCAGGTGCATAATGCAGGATAATCTCCTGTTCCAAGAAGACCTTCTGCATCTTCAGCATGTCTGACAGTCCTTTGTGCCGGGCAAGGTAACATTTTTACAGGTTGTGATGTGTTTCGACAAGCCATTATTCTGCCTGCTCTTTCTGTAGCAAAGACTTTTCACGTGTGAACACACCCTCTACCTTTTGAGGGCACTACTCCCCTTTCATAATATATTTTATGACTCTTTTCTCAATGGTTTTGTAGAATTTTGTTTCCATTTATCTAGCAGGCTTGTTTGTCAAAAACAGGGTGGGCAGCTTCTCCTTGGCCCTGTGAATACCTGCTTGATTGTGGTGGAAACTTCAGACCTTGAACTTGAAGGCTGATTTTTGTGTGCCGACGTCCTCGTGCCAGAGAGTGGCAGCCTCTCCGCTGACTGAGGTGACGGTGTTTCTGTTACCAGGGCTTGTCGAGTGGGAGGAAATCCCTGAACCTCTTTAGGACTAATCCCCGTGTGTGGGTTAGTGAAAATGTCTTTGGAGATCTTAGAGATTGTTGGCCAGGAGCCCTTGTTTCCATGGTGCGGGAGAGGAGTAGGCAAAGTCAGTTGCTCCCAGTCAGTTGTTCTCTTTGCTTGGCATCCCTCCCAGTTGAGTTGTTTTCTGTTCTTCTTCACTATGCTCACAACTCTCCTTATACTGTGTGGTTCCAAAGGACGAACTGTGTGCCGCGGAAGCACTGGTCCCATGCTCTCCGGTGCTCTGGGTGTGCTCTCTCTTCATGGCAACTACATTCTTCACCTGCCACAGTGGTGGGACGATGCTGCGTGCCCCGTCCCCTTGCTTAAAGTGCCAGTTGAAAGCGGGTATTTTGTTCTGTAGACATGTTCAAGGACAGTGTGTCCTGTCTTTCTGCCTCACTGAACTTCCCCTGGGTAGTGAAAATAGCTTCCAATCACTTCCTTTCGATCACTTCCTACTCAGCATCGGGAAGATCAAGTTAACACAGTCACTTGTAAATGCTGAGGCAGGGTGTCCAACCTTTGCTTTCTCTGGGCCACACTGGAAGAAGAAGAGTTGTCTTGGGCCACATGTTAAATACATTGTGGCACATAATCACACACAAAAAAATCTCAGGATGTTTTAAGTAAATTTACGGTTTTGTGTTGGGCTGTGTTCATAGCCATCCTGGGCCACATGTGGCCAGTGGGCCTCAGGCTGGACACCCCTGGGAGAGGTTACACAAATGTAAGCTTTGTTGCTATTCTCTGTTATTGTTATTATTGTCAAAATTACAAGTTGTATACACTTCTGTTTTGCTTCTGCTCTAGACTCACCTTGATATCCTGGAAAAAAGTGTCAACCCCAAAAAGGTGTACTTCCGGCAGGAGGTTCTGTGCCAGACACTAGGAGGGAATCCGTGTCCGCTGGTGACCATCACAGCTGTGCCCGAGTCCGCCAGCGCTGACCACCTAGAGCAGTTCCGTGAGTAAAGCAAACGCCCCCTTCTGTGATGCTGTGGTCGGACAGGGCATCTCGGAGTCTTGGAAACACTCTATCCCTTTGAGATCAGAAGCCCCATAAAGGGTTGGTGGCTGGTCCACTCTTGTTGGCAGGACATAAGGGATGCATCCTAATGTCACTCCATTGTTGAAGGGAGAAAGAATAAACTGCAGACTGCCAGGCAGACGAGGTAGCTGGTGGGCATCGAAATGGCTGGTGGCATCTTTGATTCAGAGATCTCTTAGTACTCCCTTCTGTGAATCAAAGGAGACTGGTTTCTGCTTTCTCTGTAAGATTAGTTACTACAAACACACACTGTCATGGATTGGTACAGTTTTCTCTCTTAAACATGTGCTGATATTTCAGTGATGCTTCATCTCAAGCGGCCTCCTGAGTGGAGTGGAGGGGCCCTTTCAGTGGTCAGGCGAGTGCTGTTCGTTTCTCTGTGACGCAGCAGCTGTGTGAGTGACAGTCCGGGGGCTGGGTCAGAGGAAGTCTGGGCTCCGCCCTGGAGAGAGGACTAATGGGGACCGTCTCCCCAGGTGCAGCCACCAGGTCCCATGCCCGGGAGGGCCTGGCCCTTTGTCTGATGCTCTTCTGTCACCATCTTGAAATTCTTGGAACAGTTCGGAACAGCGGGCTCTGCATTGTCACTCTGTGAAGGGCCCTGCATTTGTGTAGCTGGCCCTGGGCCTAAGCAAAGCTCAAAGAGCTACAAAGCCTTGCACCCTCCCCACACTACTGGTCTGTTTCCTGGTCATGCAATAAGAGTTCCCACCTGTTTGCTGGAACACTGAAAACGTCATTTGTATGGCTTATGAGGCTGCTTGGTTGTCGTCCTTGGGATAGGTGGTCAGTCTCCCACGTGGGCTCCCCTCTGCAAGACCAAACTTCCCCACTGCCCTGGTCTGTGTCCTGACATTATTAGATGTTGACTTCGTTGTTAAAGCAACTCACACCACATTGGCCACCAACAAACGTGTTATACCCTCTTCACAATGAACTTTATTTTCCTGTTGTAACCCACTGAAAGCGTTTTCATGGTGGATGTTTCAGACATGGTGGCAGGAAGGAGTGGGGAGAGCAGGTTTAGATCCTCTGATTCCAGTGCGGAGCTGAGAAGATGTAGCCTGGGCTGTGGTGCTGGGGGCACCGATGGGCTACAGAGGAAAGCTCTGCTTGGCAGGTCGCAATATATACACAAAGGCCACTGCTGTATAAGTAAAAGAAAATTTAAAAAAACCCAGCACAGTATATACATCCCATCCTAAATGCAGTGAACTATGACTATAAATGAGAAGTAAAGCCACTTAACTTCTTCTGAACCACAAAATGTCATGTGTCGATGTAGGACAGCAGCTGAGCCAGCAGCTCCAGACTTGCCCCCCCTGCAGGTGGCGTTCCGTTGTCTTACCCACTTTTGCCCTCCAGGGACCTGGGTCAGCTTCAGGCTGGGGTTGTGTCTGGCTGTGACTGGGCCGGTTTCTGGTTCCGTGGCCACCGCTCACCCCTCATAAGGAGGCACTATGCCCTGAAAGACTTGCTTTCCACCACGTGGGGGATTACTTCCATTTCATTTCAGAAACCCAAGAAATAAGAGCATGGCTGTGGGGCCCAGTGGGACTCCCTGCTCAGGATGGTTCTCCGGGTGGTCTGGCCCCAGGTCCCAGACCTGGAGATTATTGAGGACAATGTATCGATTGCTTTGAGTCCTTCTCAGGGTCTGGGTTCCAGAGAGTCTCCTAAAAACATTCATTTGGTTTGATTTGTTTTTTTTCAAAAGTGTTTTATAAAATAGGTAACCTTACTTTCTCGTTAAGTCCTCTTTTTGGTTCGGTAGCAACCAGGGGTGCCGGGTGACTACATGGTCGCCATTCTCAGTGCTGAGTGTGGGCCCTCCTCACAAGGCTCCTACCTCACACACCTTGAGATCTGAGTCCTCAGAGCGAAACTGCTGGCAGGTCTTCAAGAAAAAAGTCACCCTCTGCCCTTTTCAGTGAGACAGTAGATAGGGAAGTGCTGTGAGAAACTGTCACTGAAGCCACTGTGGAAGACACAAGCTTGGGGACAACTTGACGGCAAAAGGAGAAGGAAGAACAGCTTATTCCAACTTCAGAGAGTCTCAGTGGGCGGGGCACTGGAGCAGGTCCGGGCCCTGCAGAGGAGCCCAGGACGTTAGGGGCCGCAGAGCAGAGAGTGGACGCAGAAGAGTGGGCTGAAGCTTCTGCAGGCTGGAGCAGGAGGCATCAGGGTAGGGCTGGTAGCAAGATCGATCCAAGACATTGTTTCCAGTGCTTTCTGAGACTAGACTGCGTTGTTTGTGGCATTTGGGCATATTTACACATAGCTTGGCTGAATCCACACACACATTCTACGTCATTAGGTACTTTGATTAGCAGACCTGTTGAATATGCATCTTCCAAGTAGAGAGCTCACAAGTCCTATTTTCTTCAGTGTGTGAACTCCTGAGGGACGGTGTGTGCATTGTCTGATGTTTGGATGTGAACTGAGAGAAGATGCCACGTTTAAGCAGAACTAGACAGCAAGTCAGGGTGTCAAGAAAGTCTTGAGGGGCAGGGGTCACTGTTCACTCCAACCCTGGTGGAAGTGGTTGAGACACCCAGAGAGGGGAGTGCATCGACCTTTTCCAAGGTTCAGCCGTTTCCTGAACCACACCTGCTCTCTGATTCTTGCCTTGGCCATTGTGGAACTTCCTGTACTTGTCATGATTCCAGTTTGCAGATGCAAAGTGAACACTCCCTGGAGGTCAACAGCCAGCTGGGGCCACAGGGGTAGTCAGTGGGTGCTCAGGGAGGACCCCACAGCAGTTTGGGGATGTGTCTCCCCTAAGCTCAGCCATCACTGGGGAGTCCTCCAGAAAGGCACGTAATCAAAACAGGCTGTCTATTAAAGACCCCCATCATTTTGTTAACTTCCCCCTTTTCTCTGCATTTCCCTGCAGCCTTGCCTTCTAATGACCATTTCAGCCCAAAGGAAGTTGGGCCTCTTTTTATTTTGGGGAAAATGCGCTCTACATCTTGGGTGCTTTATTGTTCTCAGCAGCCTTATTGCTAAATGTTCCCTCTTTTGGACCTTTATATCTTCAGACCCCATAGCCATGTTGTCTCAGCTGTCCTCAGGAGCTGAGAGGAGGACCTCATTTGTGGGACTTTTCTGAGGGACAGTGTCATTTTCTTAGTAGAAACTCTTATTCGCCAAGTATGGAGTCACAGACTCACTGGAGAGAAGCTAAGAAACAACGGGTGGGTGAGGTGGGGGGCGGCTCTCTGGTTTTTGATGCGGAAAACTCCATCCAGCCTGCAGTGATTGTCACCCACAGGAGGAGGCCCGGAGGAGGCGAGGGAGTCTGCCTCCCCTGCCTGGTCTCCTGGGTCCACACGCTGTTCTTTCCAAGGGGCGGAGGAGAGGGGGAGCCACAGGCCGCGTGTGCAGTTGTTAAAGAGTACCTCTCTCCTTTTCTTTTTCTTAAAAATATTCTTACAAAAGCAGTGTTCTATTCAGCCTGCCATTATGCTAAAAGCTTTTCCTTGGAAGACAATAGCTGTTCTCAGAAAAAAGATTTACGCAGGGTCCCGAGGGTGTAATGAGCCACCACACAGCACCTGCCTGGGGTTGGGAGTTGTAACTGGTAAGTGGTTTTAAATCCGAACAGAGTGGAAAAAATACACAGTTACAGAATTCACCTTTTGGCTTCTTTGCAAATCATTTCCCATCCTCTCTGGTCCTGGTCTCTTTCTGAGCCACCTGATCAGGTATGATGAGCAGAGCTTTCCTCCCAGCCATCTGGGAATGACAGCGGTGCTCCGAGGAAAACAAGCTCAAGCGAGGACTGGAAATCTGTGGTTTTTTGCCCGCGCCCCCACCCCCTCCCAGCGCTCTTGTCTCCTGGTTAAATTATCTTTTTTTCTGTAAAGCACTGCTTTTGACAAATATTGTAACTGAAAGAAAAAAAAGAATGACAGGAGCATAGAGACTTCTCTCGATGGAAATGTTTAGTAAAAGGGTTTAGAATTACAGAAACTGAACTGTGCCCCGTTTTGCCTTGGGACTCCCGTCTTGTAGGCACTGAGGGTAGGAACCACAGTAGATATTAGGAATACAAAGATAAATATCATTTAATCCTTGTCTCTTACAATCTGCAGGGAGTGCGAGTGCGAAATTCATGATAACGGGTCATTAGAATACAGCACGTTTTACCCAAACGGCAGACAGATGAAGACCAGTGGGAGCACAGGATGAGAGCATTTTTAAAAGAAATACTTTATTTTTAGAGAGAGGGGGGAGGGAGACAGAGAGGGAGAGAAACACTCATGTGAGAGAGAAATATCCATCAATTGCCTCTTGCAAGCACCCCAACCAGGGACCAAACTTGCCACTAGGCATGCGCTGTGACCAGGAGTTGAACAGGTGACCTTTCACTTTGTGGGCTGATGCCCAACCCATAGAGCCACACTGGTCAGGGCAGGATGAGAGCATTTGAATCAAAGGACGTGTCCCTCAAGGATGAGGTGTATGAATCCCATGATGGTCCTATATTGACACTGCCTTTCTTTAAGAGAAATCTCAGTCCAAAATCCAAAAACTAGCTAAAGAATAGTCCCATTCTTTCTTGAGAATACATCAAAGGGAGAGTGTATCAAACACATCCAAACCACCTTAGATTTGGTTTTCCTCATCTTTTTTACTCTTGTCAACCTTCCTGTATATAAGTAGTGGTTCTCAGTCATCCCACCTTTTTTCAATACTGTCAGGATGGGCGGAGTAGCACAAAACGGTGGCTGAGCTACAACCTGGAAAAGACGGCTGAAACCAGGGAGCTGAAAGGGCGGGCTTTATCCGCATAGCAACCTGAGCCCGAGGAGAACCACCAATGATATATTGCCACTTTGTTCAAAGGGGACCAATCCCCAGCTCCCACGAAGAGAGCCAACCAAAATTAAACCCCACCACATTCCCTGCTT